GCTCCTGACTGCCCACAGCTATCATTTCATGAGCTAGGATCAATTTCCCCCAAATGGAAAACTGTAATGGAAGCCCACCTGCTTTTTTTTTTTTTTTCCTTGTCAGCCCTTATTGGCCTAAAAATTTTCCTGTTCTTCACCATCCAGAAGGATTGGGAGGGCATCTGTGAAGTTGGATGTTTGATCTGAACGCTCTTTCTAGAGCAATTTCTAGTATAGATCAGTCCTGTCACCCAACACTTGAGCATTTTTCCCTTTAGGGAAATGTCTGTTTATTTTTCTCTCTTTTCCCTAATCCACTTCCGCTTTCAGTGGAAAGCATTTCCCCTTTTCCATCTTTACTTCCTCTCACCCCAAAAATAACTTTGAATAACCTCTGCAGTGCAGCTTTGCCAAGAGCATTTTAAAAACAAATTCTATTTGAATCATCTTTGATTAAGTAGTTGTACAAAGGCCAGGAGCATTTTAACCTCCAAAGTTCTGGCCACTGGCTTCTCTGTGTACAGCAATAACCTTATTTTATGTCAGCTTGAAAGAACTCTCCAGAGGTGAGTCAGACATGATTTTGTCTTACTGGAAACATCTCAATTGTCCTTTATTTAATTATTTTATTTATTTATTTATTTATTGCCAGTCCTGGGGCTTGAATCCAGGGCCTGGACACTGTCCCTGAGCTTCTTTTGCTCAAGGCTAGCACTCCATCACTTGAGCCACAGCCCCACTTCCTGCTTTTTCTGTTTATGAGGTACTGAGAAATCAATCCCAGGGCTTCATGTGTGCCAGGCAAACACCCTACCACTAAGCCACACTCCCAGCCTGATTGTCCTTTAGCTGTCCTGTTTCCTAAAGTACCTACAGCACCTCTACTGTAATAGGAAGGACTTGGGCTTTAGAACCAAGCAGGGCTGGGTCTGGAGTCTACACTCAAGTTCAGTGGTCATGATATGACTCGCTTTGGATGGTTGCTTAAATGGTGGTGTTAATCATATGTCCTGGTCCAGCACTGGTTGCTCACACCTGTAATCCTAGCTACTCAGGAGGCTGAGATCTGAGGGTCATGCTTCAAAACTAGCCCAGGCAGAAAAGTCCATGAGACTCTTATCTTCAACTAACCACCAGAAAATGGGAAATGGGGTTGTGGTTCAAAGTGGTAGAAGACTAGCCTTGAGCAAAAGAGCTCAGGGACAGTGCCCAGGGCCTGAGTTAAGGCCCTATGACCAATAACAAAAAAAAAAAGTCTTATGTCCCTTCAAGCAGTCTTTCCCAAATGTGAACACACACAGAAGTCACCTGAGAATCTAGGTATACAACATAGATTCAGATTCTCTAGATCTGGATGTTTTAAAAGCTTCTCTCTCAGGCAATTCTAATAGGTAGCCAAATTTGAGAAATATGTTTTTATTAGTGACAGTAAAAACTGTTAGTGTCACATAAAATGCTGAGAAAAAGCTGGGCACCAGTGGCTCATGCCTGTAATCACGGTTTAAAGCCAGCCTGGGCAGGAAAGTCAGTGAGACTCTTATCTCAAATTAACCACCAGAAAACTAGAAGTGGCCCTGTGGCTCAAGTGGTAGAGCGCTTGCCTTGAGCTGAAGAGCTCAGGGCCAGCTCCCAGGCCCAAAGTTCAAGCCCCACGACTGACCTCTCCCCTTACCTCCCCCCCTCCCCTGCAAAAAAAATGCTGAGAAAAATGCAAAGACTCAGGGCTGAAATGAATAAATATACCCACATTTGGACACCAAGCCAAGCATCAAACTTACCCAGTAAGTAAAGCAGACTTGAAATAGATAACAGGAAGAAAAGTTAGGATAGAGTTCAAAAGAAAGGACCTGAGGGGCTAGGAAAGTGGCTCAGTGGTAGAGTGCTTGCCTTGCATGCATGTGGCCCTGGGTTCAATTCCTCAGCACCACATAAATAGAAAAACCTGGAAGTGGCACTGTGGCTCAAGTGTAGAGTGTTCGCCTTGAGCTAAAGAGCTGAGGGACAGGACAGCGCCTAGGCCCAGAGTTCAAGTCCCATGACTGACAAAAAGAAAAAAAGAAAGGACCTGGAACTCCTCTGCAACCACCCCCCCAAAGACCCTCGGGTTCCATTCATCAAATACTGATCACTTGCTTTGTGCCAAGCCCAAGGAAACTCGAGTATGAATGAGACATGATTCCTGCCTTGAAGGAGCATGTAGCATGACAGAAGGTAGATAGGTTATGGGAAATGGTAGGAATATATCCAGGTACTGAGGAGGACCAAAAGAGCAGCTTTGAGGGGATCAGAGAATCAGCATGAACTTGCTGGATCTTTCAGGATAAGCAGCAGTTTTCCAGGTGGAGAGGAAGAGTCTGTGAGGGAGTGCAGTTTTTTGGGTGAAGCTGGCGTGCAGAACGTAGGTGAGGAGTGATCGGTCAGGAGGCTGGCAGGGAGGGAGGCGTACTGACACACCCCATGGGGCCTGTAACTGCTATAAAGCTTGGATTCTCTCTGTGTGGAACTAAGGCCCACTGAAAAATTTGAAATCAGAGGGTCGTCTGTCCAAACTTGTGTTTTTGGAAGATCCTTAGGAGGCTTGTGGAAGATGGATGTAAGGGGAAACTGAGGCAGTGGGGAGCCCGGAGTCGTGGCCCAGTCAAGCTGTGAGAATTGCATTGAAAGCAGCAGGTATCAGTGAGGACAGAAAAGCTGGGAGTAGTCATCATCCCAAGATGCCAATCTGATGGCGTTTTGCATGGCATGGATCAAGGGGTGGGTGAGTGGTAGCAGGGGAGGGAGTAGAAGGTAAGGTAGATAAGTTGCTGTGCATGTTAAATTTCAGGACTTACTTCCTCTCAAGGTTCTACAAGGAGGAGTCAAGCCGGGCACCAGTGTCTCATGCCTGTAATCCTAGCTACTCAGGAGGCCAAGATCTAAGGATCATGGTTCAAAGCCAGCAGGAAAGTCCTGCAGGAGAAAGTCCATCAGACTTATTTCCAATTAATCACCAGAAAACCGGAAGTGGCTCTATGATTCAAGTGGTAGAGCGCTCACCTTGAGCTGAAGAGCTCAGGGACAGTGCCCAGGCCCCATGACCACCGCCACCACCACCAACAAAAAGGAGTCAAGATGAGTTAAGTCAGGTGATGGTTGGTGGTGACACCATTAGCTTCTCGTTGGCCTTCCTTTCTTCCTGGCTTCCATGGCTGGGGTAGGGGGACTGGTGTGCAGTTTTCACCACCCCCACTGGCCCAGCTTTGTTCCGTGTCCACTGGCACCGGCACCTCACCCATCCCTTAGCTTCTTGTTCTCCGAGTCTGGTGGTGTCTCCCTTCCTCTGAAAGCCAGGCAGGTCAGCCATTTCCACTGGTGGGGAAAGAAATGTCAGCGAGGGCGGGAAGGCAGCCAAATTCTTCTGGTGGCTCAAGGTGATGTCAACCTTCCTGGAAGCCTGTGATGAAGTCAGAGAGCAGCTGTTGCCCTGGGCACACCCTCTTGTTGGCAATAGAGACAGTGCATTTTATGGAGTCACAATCCATGCAAATGAGTTAACTTCAGCTTCCAATTCCAGTAGCCCCGACGGAAGGCCTGTGGCCAGCACTCATCCAGACCTTTCTACAGCACAAGGCTCTTAGAGACTGGGGTGCAGGGTTCAAATCTCTCCTCTTTGTTACTTTGTAGCTGCCTGGCCCCAGGCTAGCTCTTCTCGCTTTCTTCATTTGTTCAATGGGGAGAGGAGTAGTCCTCTCCCTTCTGGAAGACAGAGATAATGACAGTTGAGGACTTGGTTCATCACCTGACAGACAGTGCTCCGCTTGTTCACCAGCCATGGACTGAAGGTGGTTGTGTCCCAGTACTCCAGATGTAAGCACTGAGGGGAATAGTAGTTCACCTATGGCCTCCAGCCTGGTAGGTAAAGCCTCAGTCTCGCAGACTGTCAACAAAGCTCATGCTGCCCCTGGAGCCCCATTGGGTTGCTACAGAATCTCTCTCTTGGGTTTTTCTTCTGATTTCTATGAAGGTCAAAGGTTAGACCCTTTCCTGCTGCCTATGAGGTAAGCTGTCCTCTTGACTTAGGAGCTGTTTAGCTTAAGGGCTGGGCAGCTTAGTTTCTAACTTTTCTCTCCCTTTCCTGCACACCAACTGGGACCTAGTTGTCAGGATTAAATCACCACCTACTCTCCTTAGAGACATGGAGAACCAGTCTTCCCTCTGTATCCAAAGCAAAGAAGTCAGGTGCTCTGTATTCCCAGAGGGGGGTGCTCTCTCGCGCTCGCTCTCTCTCTCTCTCTCTCTCTCTCTCTCTCCCTCTCCCTCTCCCCCTCTCCCTCTCCCTCTCTCTGTCTCTTTCTGTCTCAGTCTGTTGTCTGTCTTTCTTGTGCCAGTACTTGTGTTAAGTTTGCACTCAGAGCCTGGGCACTGTCCCTTAGCCTTTTTGCTCAAGATTGGCTTTGTATCGCTTGAACCACAACTCCACTTCTGGTTTTTCTCTTTTTTTCTTTTCTTTTTTTTCCCGATTGGTCATAGCCTGAACTCTGGGCCTGGGCGCTGTCCCTCAGCTCTTCAAGGCTAGCTAGCACTCTACCACTTGAGCCACAGCACCACTTCTGCTTTTTTCTGTTGAGGAATTGAACCCAGGGCCTCATGAATGCAAGGCAAGCACTCTACTCTAAGCCACCTTCCCAGCTCCCCCATTTCTGGTTTTGTTTTTTGGGGGTTTTTTTGGTGCTTAACTAGAGATAGGAGCTCAGATTTTCCTCAGCATCCTGAGGAGCTAAGATTGCAGACACGAGACACCAGCATCCAGTGGGCTCCTTCTCTTTGCTTTTCAAATGACCGTGTCAACAATGGGAACCTTGTGCTTGGGGCTCCAGAGGCTGGAGGGGAAGATCCATTTTTATCAATGTCCCAGGCAGCACCTGGGAACATCTGACATCACTCCACAAGGACCCAGAACAAAATCACTTAAGGTGGGGCTGTTGTGACTCATTACAAAAAGCCTACCTCTGAACCTCTCTGTGTGTCTATGTTGCCAGGCTATGGAAAGTAAGCTGCTCATTGGCGGCAGGAACATCATGGATCACACCAATGAGCAGCAGAAGATGCTGGAACTGAAGAGGCAGGAGATCGCTGAGCAGGTAGGGCTGCCAGGCTTCAAGTCTCCTTTGGGGGAGGGAGTACATGGTCTCAAAGTCGTGTGTAGGAAATGGACATGACCATGGCTATAAGCCATCATGGACTTGGGACCCTTGGCATTATAATGCCAAGAATCGAAGACATACCACTCTGGGTCACATGGGTCTTCCAGCCCGGGATCCTCCCTCTGGCAGGGGCACAGCTAGCTGATGCATGGTGGCTGTTCATGTAGTCAGCCTCCTCAAGGATATGAGTTTATGGGCATCCATATGATGTTTGCTATCATCAAGAATAACAATTTGGGGGCTGGGAAGGTGGCTCAGTGGTAGGGTGCTTGCCTTGCATGCATGAGGCTCTGGGTTCGACTCCTCAGCACCACATAAGCAGAAAAAGCCAGAAGTGGTGCTGTGGCTCAAGTGGAAGAGTGCTAGCCTTGAGCTGAAGAGCTGAGGAACCCAGTGCCCAGGCCCAGAGTTCAAGCCCCACAACTGACAAATAATAATAATCATCATAATAATAACAATAATTTGAGGCAGGTGCCAGTGGCTTACTCCAGTAATCCTAGCTACTCAGGAGGCTGAGATCTCAGGATCCTGGTTAGAAGCCAACGCCAGGCAGAAAAGTCCCTGTGAGACTCTTATCTCCAATTAACCATTAAAAAATGGTAAGTGGTGCTGTGGCCCAAGTGATAGAGCACTAGCCTTGAGCACAAAGAGGCTCAGGGACAATACCCAGGCCCTGAGTTCAAGCCCTGCAACTGACCCCCCCCAAAAAAAGAAAATTTGTAGGTTACCAGTTACATTTTTTTTTTTTGCCAGTCCTGAGCCCCAACGCAAGTGAGTCACTGGCTCCCAGCTCTAGTTAACTTTTTGACACTACATAGGGAAATAGGAGGCAACCAGCCTATGGGGATAATAACCCAGCTGATAGGACTGTAGGGTTTCCATCCACACGAGCAGTGCCTGGCAAAAGGCATGGCCATAAAAGCTGAGTCAAGGGGCTGGGAAGGTGGCTCAGTGGTAGAGTGCTTGCTTTGCATGCATGAGGCCCTGGGTTCAATTCCTCAGCCCCACATAAGCAGAAAAAGCCAGAGGTGGTGCTGTGGTAGGGCGCTAGCCTTGAGCTAAAGAGCTTAGGGACAGCGCCCAGGCCCATAGTTCAGGCCCCATGACTGACAAAAAAAAAAAAAAAAGAAGATGCATTACTTTCTATGGGGTGGGAGCAATGGATATGGGCCTTGGGGTGTGTCCACTTTTCCTTTATGGCACCCACAGCATTGGGGAAGGCAGGAGCCAGAACAGGCAGAATGAGTCATCCCTGGAGTTCCCTTGGCTCTCTCAATATGTTCTGTTCCATTGACATCCCCTCGTCTTGCCTTGGCCTAGAAACGCCGTGAGAGGGAAATGCAGCAGGAGATGATGCTCAGAGATGAGGAGACCATGGAGCTCCGGGGTACCTACACATCCCTGCAGCAGGAGGTGGAGGTCAAAACCAAGAAACTCAAGAAGGTGAGAGATGCTGCAACATGGTGGCCCTGAGAGCCTCTCTCTAGACAGTCAACTGCCCAAAGGATGTGTATTTCAAGGACCCATCCCCACTTTTTGTTGTTGTTGTTGTTGTTGTTGATCATGGAGCTTGAACTCAGGGCCTGGGCGCTGTCCCTAAGCTTTTTTGCTCAAGACTAGCGCTCTATCACTTTGAACCACAGCATCACTTCCAGTGTTTGAGTAATTAATTGGAGATAAGAGTCTCAAAAGGACTTTTCTGCTGGAGCTGGCTTTGAATGGCGATCCTCAGATCTCAGCCTCCTGAGTAGCGAGGATTACAGGCATGAGCCATTGGTGTTCAGCGTCCATCCCCATTTTCCATACACTGCTCAAGCCCTGAGCTCTATTTCCTGGGCTAGACATTGCAGAGCAGTGGAAAGGCATGGGTCTGTGGCAGGGTGGAAGGGCTTTTCCCTTAGAGTGTGGAGTCTCATGGGCTGAAGTCACTTCCAGTCATTTCCAGTCTGTCATTGTCATGTGCCATCCTCCTCCTCAGTGACTTCTTCCTTTGACTGTCACAAATGACTCACAGTTTTAGTAGCTGGGTTTGGAGAAGGCCCAGGGATTGTGCTGAGGCCTGAGAAGGAGACTCGTGCCTGGGGAAATCCAGGAAGGGAACACAGCCCCTCCGTACAGTGTCCCCAGTCCATGGGATGAGGGTCTAGGGCATGAAACAGCAAGTTCCAGCTGGGATTCCAGTAAGAACATAGAGAAGCCCCAGACTTGCAATGTGGCTGCAGAGCTGGCCAGGCCTAGGCCCAGATACCATGGCAGTTCCCAGGACACTGCTCACTAGAGTAAAAGTAGAACCGGAAGGTTGGTGTTGACCTCCACACCCCTCACTTCTGGGAGCTCCTGGAGAAGCAACAGTGGGATAGGTCACCTACTTCTCCATTTGTTCCATCAGTAACCCAGATGCCAGCCTGGGATCTCCAAATGCCACCTGAATCCTAATTTTTTTTCTGTTGATTAGTTGTAGGCTCTTTTAGTTAGTCTATGACTTGATTTCCTTGTCTATAAAGAGTAGGTGTTGGGTGGGGCACCAATGGCTCACACTTGTAATCCTAATTTCTTAGAAGGCTGACATCTGAGGATTGCAGTTTGAAGCCATCCTAGGCAGGAAAGTCTGTGAGACTCTTATTTCCCATTATCCAGAAAAAGGTTGAACTGGAGGTGTGACTCAAGTGGTAAAGGGCCAGCCTTGAGCAGAAAAGCCTCTGAGCTCAAGCCAGGAGCTAGTAATGCCTATAATCAATCCTAACTAGTCAGGAGGCTGAGATCTGAGGATTGAGGTTCAAAGCCAGCCCAGGCAGGAAAGTCCATGATACTCTTATCCCCAATAAACCACCAGAAGACCGGAAATGGTACTGTGGCTCAGGTGGTAGAACACTAGCCTTGAGCTAAAGAGAGCTGAGGGACAGTGCTCAGGCCCAGAGTTCAAGGCCCATGACCGACCAAAAAAAAAGCCCCGATCTCAAGCCTGTAAGTACTGGCATTTAAAAAAAAAAGAAGAAGAAGAAAAAGAAGACCAAGAGATCTTACAGGTCCTTTGCAAATAAGTAGTCCACCCTGGCTTAGGATGGTGGCAGCAGCTGGGAGTTCATCATTTTGGGTAGAAGCCTTTGGGCCTTGAGCCTATAGCCCACAGGGCCCCTGATTGGTGCCTTGCCACACTGAGCAGCCTCTGAGCTGCACCTGTCCTCACCCAGCTCTACGCCAAGCTGCAGGCGGTGAAGGCGGAGATCCAGGATCAACATGATGAGTACATCCGCGTGCGGCAGGACCTGGAGGAGGCGCAGAATGAACAGACCCGGGAACTCAAGCTCAAGTAGGGCCAGGTCCTCTTCTGGTTCCGGTTCTGGGTCCCCCTGAATTCCTCAGGGCCTCCCTAACAGACCCCTCTCCTTCCTGCAGGTGGCATCCTGACTGCCTGCAAACTCACAAGTCCATATATTAAGGAATCAATGTGTCTGAGGGAAGAGGGGTAGGCCCAGATCTGGATTTATCTCTGCCCCATCAGTCTGAAGTTGATGTACCCCCAAAGTGGATGCTGGGTACTGGTCAAAAGTAACCTTAAATGCCCCAGCCTACAATTTTGCCTTAGAAGCAGTGGCTTTCAGGTCCCGTTATTGCTCTAGAGATCTGTATCCTCCACCATTTTGGCTTCTCCCACCACCTCTGTTGCCTCTATTCACTTCCTCCATTCCCCATTCCTGCCTCATTCTGCTCCCAGATACCTAATCATTGAGAACTTCATCCCCCCTGAGGAGAAGAACAAGATCATGAATCGGCTCTTCCTGGACTGCGAGGAGGAGCAGTGGAAGTTCCAGCCGCTGGTGCCTGCTGGAGTGTGAGTTGCTCTAGCCTGTTGTCTGGGCCATGGGTCTTTCAAGCCCCCTCCAGGTTGGGCTTAGTGAGGGACCTGAGGGCCTGATTGTGGGGAAATGGATGTTTTGAGATTAGGGAACAGACTGGGGAGATGTAGAATAAAGGATGGCACTCTGAGGACCTAATTTGTAAGAGTTTCCATGAAGGAAGGATGTTGGGGCTGGGATAATGGGTACCTCATTTGCCTGAGATGCAAAAAAAAAGCCCTGTAAGATGAGGGATAGGGGGACTTGGAGAAGCAGCTGTGTCTCTTTGGCAATCCCAGTGATGCTAACAGCTGGCCACTTCTGGTGAATTCTCATTTGTCAGGTGCCAGAAATAGGAACCATAATTAATATTTGCCCAGCTCTGCTGTGTCAGCTACTGTGTTTGAAAATGTAGACAGAAGATAAATCAGACACAGTATGAGCTCACAGTCTGGAGAGAAATACTGAGAAGCAATCAGATCATGACAACACAGAGTCTAAATCTAATGTCTGTAGCCTCAGTCAGCTGGGTGATTCAGCATTTCCACCTGTTTCCTGCTCCTAGCCCTTGGGTGTAGCTATTCATTGGCTGAGTGTGCAGTGCCCTCTGCTGGTGGTGAGGACCAAAGCTATATATTCAAACTGAACAATGTGACTGCCTCACCCAGCTGGACCACTAGCCCTTTACAGGTAGACTGTAAACAGCAATGAAGGGGCAGCCCAGTACTCTTATCATAAGAATACTGCCATGGTAGGAGAGTAATGTGCCCCAAAGCTGGGATGGGAAGCTAGCAAGATGTCTACATACATCTTCTCCCTGGAATGTCAGATGCCTGTTCATCTGTCTGCTTTCTGTATGGCCAATCTCTACCCATGGGGAAAGTTCATGACCAGAGTCTCTCAGTAAGGTCATTTTGGACTTAAAATTCGCCCTTTTAATTTTAGTAGACATACTCTGTAGTCTCATGCCCAGGTTCTCTCCTAGAATCTAGAGAATCTTGATGCAGGAAGTGGAACAGTGTCTTTCTGCTGGTTAATTGGAGTTTGGAGTTTCACAGACTTTCCTGACAGGCTAATTTCAAACCTTGAGCCTCAGATCTCAGCCTCCTGAATAGCTAGGATTATAGATGGGAACCATTGGTGCCCAGCTGGAAATTTTATTTTATTCTTTAGGAGACTGAATTTACCACCTCACACTGTTGCTTAGTTTTTTCCTTCAAGGCTGGTGTTCTACCACTTGAGCCACAGCTCCACTTCTGGCTTTTTCTGGTTAATTAGAGAGAAGAGTCTCTAGGCTTTCCTGCCTGGGCTGGCTTCAAACCTTAGTCCTCAGATCTCAGTCTCCTGAATAGCTAAGATTACAAGTGTGAGCCATGGGTGCTGGCTCCCTGTTTTCTTTTCAAGTAAAGTCACATATAAAAAGTTTTCTTTGGGGGGCTGAGAAGGTGGCTCAGTGGTAGAGCGCTTGCCTTGCATGACTGAGGCCCTGGGTTCAATTCCTCAGCACCACATAAGCAAAAAGAAAAAAGCCAGAAGTGGCACTATGGCTCAAGTGGTAGAACGTAGCCTTGAGCTGGAGAGTTGAGGGGACAGTGCCCAGGCCAAGAGTTCAGGCCCCATGACCAACAAAAAGTTTTCTTTGCCATTGGAAAACCTGACTACTTTGGTTATTTCTGGAAACCTTCTTGTTTCCAGGGTTTTTTTTTGGGTGGTTACTTAAAAATGAGTCTCACAGACCTTCCTGCTCAGGCTGGCTTTGAACTGTGATCTTCAGCTAGAGTAGCTGGAGTTATAGGCATTAGCCACCAGAATCCAGCTGTGCAGGAAAGTCTTGAATAGGTTGATAATATTTCCTCCTGTCAAGGCGCCCTGGGGTTTAAGGCTTGTAGAAGGTACTCTCTCCCCTTTCAGCATTAGCTCCTAGAATTTGCAAGATAACTAAACCAGGGCTAAATAAAATATAGTAGAGCTTTCTCCCAAAGCATATTTAGCTAATGAGGACATTGTCCCATCTACTTAATACTAGTGTGGGATATTTTGCTTTACCGTGGGCTGCTCAAAGTAAGAGGAAAGACTTGGTTTGAAAGATGTTACCCAAAGTCACACTGTATGGTTGGAAAGCTTTTGGGAAACACATCTACCCTCCTCCTTCCTGAGCCACAAGCATCTACTCCACCCATGTCGCTCTTGAAAACAAAGAGTTGTCAGGCAACTCCTGACATGCCCAGATCAACTTATTTTGGAAATATATCCATATTCTCTTTCTTCCTCGACTCTGTGTAGCCCCTAGTTGATTGCAAACTGACCTCAGGTAAGGTGCTTTTTTTTTTTTTTTTTTGGGGTCCGGTCGTGGGGCCTGAACTCTGGGCCTGGGCACTGTCCCTCAGCTCTTCAGCTCAAGGCTAGCACTCTACCACTTGAGCCACAAAGCCACTTCCGGCTTTTTTCTTATGTGGTGCTGAGGAATCGAACCCAGGGCCTCAAGCATGCAAGGCAAGTGCTCTACCATTGAGCCACCTTCCCAACCCTCTTTTTTTGTTTTTGTTTTTGTTCTTGTTTTTTTGGAAGGTCGTGGGGCCTGAACTCTGGGCTTAGACGCTGTCAGCTCTTCAGCTCAAGGCTAGCACTCTACCACTTGAGCTACAGCACCACTTCTGGTTTTCTGGTGGTTTTATTGGAGATAAGAATGTCACAGACTTTCCTGCCCGGACTGGCTTTGAACTGTGATCCTCAGACCTCAGCTTCCTGAGTAGCTAGGATTATAGGCGTGAGCCACCGGCACCTGGCCTGTTTTTGTTTTTTGTGCCAGTCCTGGGGCTTGAACTCAGGGTCTGGGCACTGTCCCTAAGCTGGCTTTTGCTTAAGCCTAGTACTCTACCACTTGAGCCACAGTGCCACTTCCAGCTTTTTCTGTTTATACGGTACTAAGGAATCGAACCCGAGGCTTCATGCATGCTAGGCAAGCACTCTGCCACTAAGCCATCTTTCAGGCACTTGTTTTGTTTTTTCGAGACAGGTCTCACCACATTGCTCAAGCTGGTCTCAGACTCAAGGAATTCTCCAATATCCAGTCTCTGTCTTCCAAGTAATTGTGGCTATAAGCGTGTGCTACATCCCTGAATCTGGGGGCATGTTGTAGTGAAGTGATAAGTGATCAATTATCTTCCTGATTTCCCTACTCCCTCCTCAGTGGGGCTCATCCCAGCATCCTTGCTGGACTTCCTTCCTCACCAAAGGGGTGATCAGCTCAAACCTACAGTGAGAATGGTGTTCACCACTGCAATAGGCGCACAGGAAGGCCTTTAACATTAGCAGGGAGTGGGGCCTTCCAGAACCGTATCAGTCCTTGTTTTCATCTATCAAGAGGGTCAGCTGGGACCCTTAAGTGCAGTCTCAATCATGCATTAGTACACAGGATAAAGCAGAAATGTGATTGTCCCTCTCTTCCAAGGCTGGAAGGCAGGCATTGCACACTGCTTTGGGGCTTCTGCACAGTTTTATGTAAAGACACAATGCCCTATCTGGGAATAAGAGTTTTTTTCTCTGTTTCTGCCTTCCAGCATCATCTTTTGAATATTTCATTGCTTGTTTCACTTTATTGTATCCCTATTTGAATTAGCAAATGAAATTGAGAATTAATGAGGACAGCTGTCATGTGTTGAGTCCTAACAGCATAATGTGCTAAGTGTTCATCTCATTTCAGGCTCAGAGAGAGAAAAGCACTTTCTTAGAAATGAAAGGGACTGAAATTTTAAATACAGGTTCATTCATCTTACTCTAAAGCCTGTATTCTTTATTTTTAAAATCAGAACTGGGCGCTGGTGGTTCACGCCTGTAATCCTAGCTACTCAGGAGGCTGAGATCTGAGGATTTGGGGTCAAAGCCAACTCAGGCAGGAAAGTCTATGAGACTTTCATCCACCAGAAAACTTGGAACTGTGGCTCAAAGTGGTAGAGCTCTAGCCTTGAGCAGAAAAGCTCAAAGGTAGCACCCACCCAGACCCTGAGTTCTAGCCCCACAACCCACCAAAACAAACAGCAACAAAAACCATAAATCTGGGGCTAGGAAGGTGGCTCAGTGGTAGAGTGTTTGTCTTGCATGCATGAGGCCCTTGGTTCGATTCCTTAGTACCACATAAGCAGAAAAAGCTGGAAGTGAGGCTGAGGCTCAAGAGGTAGAGCGCTAGTCTACAGCTGAAGAGCTGAGGGACAGCGCCCAGGCCCAGAGTTCAGGCCCCATGACTGACAAAACAAAAAACAAAACAAAAAAATGTAAATCAACCTTCCTTCCTCCCTTCCTCTCTCCCTCTCTCCCTCCCTCCCTCCCTCTCTTCCTCCTTCCCTTCCTTCTTCCTCTCCTGTCTCCCTCCCTCTCTCTCTACCTCTCTCTCTTCCTCATGCTCTTGGGGCAGGTCCTGGGCTTTGTCCCTGAGCTTTTGCTCTCAAGGCTAGCACTGTTTGAGCAGTTCTACTTTCAGCTTTTTGCTGGTTAATTGGAGATAAAAATCTCACAGACTTTCCTGACCAGGATGGTTTTAATCCCGGGCTGGGAAGTTGGCTCAGTGCTTGCCTCCCATGCATGAGGCTCTGGGTTCAATTCCTCAGCACCACATAAGCAGAAAAAAGCCAGAAGTGGCATTGTGGCTCAAATGGTAGAACACTAGCCTTGAGCTGAAGAGCTGAGGGACAGTGCCCAGGCCCAGAGTTCAGCCCCCACACCCTACAACCGACAAAAAAAAAAAAAAAAAAAGCACATACCCTGCTTTACAGCATTTCTGTTCCTGGGCATATACCCCAAGGAAAATGGTAAAATGTACCTGAAGATACTTGTACAAAAACATTCATAGTAATACTAGTTGATAGCAAAAAAAAAAAAGAAGGGAGAAAGGGAGGGAGGAAATCATCCTAGATTGTTAATCTACTAGGGTAGGCATGCACACAAAATACCATTTAGAAACCCAATCTGGAAATCTAGGTGTATCAAAATCTTGAACCTTGGGCTGGGAAGGTGGCTCAGTGGTAGAGCACTTGCCTTGCATGCCTGAGGCCCTGGGCTCGATTCCTCAGCACCACATAAGCAAAAAGAAAAAAGCCGGAAGTGGCGCTGTGGCTCAAGTGGTAGAGCGCTAGCCTTGAGCTCAAGAGCTGAGGAAAGTGCCCAGGCCCAGAGTTCAGGCCCCATGACTGGACCAAAAAAAAAAAAAATCTGAACCTAGGTCTTACAGTACATACCTAGGTCATAGAGTACATAGGAGGCAGAGGCAGGAGGATCGAGAACTTGAGGCTAGCTTGGGATACATAGCAAAACCCTGTCTCAAAATAAAAATAATTTTTTTTTAAAAATTGCTGGGTGCCGGTGGCTCATGCCTATAATCCTAGCTACTAAGAGGCTGAGATCTGAGGATCGAGGTTCAAAGCTAGCCTGGGCAGGAAAGTCCATGAGATTCTTATCTCCAATTAACAACCAGAAAACTGGAAGTGGCATTGTGGCTTAAGTGGTAGAGCCCTAGCCTTAAGCTGAAGAGCTGAGGCCCAGGCCCAGAGCTCAAGCCCTACAACCAACAGAAGAAGAAGAAAAAAATTAACATTGTAGCAATGAGATTTACAAGACACTATGTTGAAAACAAACTTTACACTTGGGTGAGGAAGTGGGAGAGGGTGTGGGGGAAGGGATTGTAGGGGAAAAACAAAGGAGGACGTAACAATGCTGGATAGGAAATGTACTCATTACCTTACTCATGTAGCTGTAACCCCTCTCTACAGTATCTTTACAATAAAAAATATATTTAAAAAAAGATTTAAAATAGGCATATAGGGGCTGGAAATGCTTGCCTAGCATGCATGAAGCCCTGTGTTCGATTCCTCAATACCACTTAAACAGAAAAAGCTAGACATGGCACTGTGGCTTAAGTGGTAGAGTACCAGCCTTGAGCAAAAGAAGCTCAGGGACAGTGCTCAGGCCCTGAGTTCAAGCCCAGGACTAGCAAAATAATAAAAATAAAATAGGCATGCAAATGGCATATTGTTTATGGATACCTACATATAAAAATCAGCATAATGCTTATCTCCAATTAACCAGAAGTTATATTGTGGCTCTAGTGGTAGTACACTAGCCTTGAGCACAAAGAGCTAGTGACAGCGTCCCGGCCCAATGGCAAGCCCCACAACTAACAACAACAACAAAAGCATAAAAGCATATGACATTAATCAGCAACAAACTTACTAGGGAGGCTGAAGCAAGAGGATTTCAATTTCCAAGCCCACAAGAAGCCATCCACCAGTGGCCAGTAGCTCACATCTACAGTCCTTAGGTACTAATGGATGAAATCTGATGATTGAGGTTCAAAGCCAGCCCAAGCAAGAAATTCCATGAGACTCTTTACTCCAGTTAACCACCAAAAACATACAAGTGGAACTGTGGCTCAAGTGATAGAATGGTAGCTTTGGGCAAAAAAAAAACCCTAAGGAACAGTACCCAGGCCCTGAGTTCAAGTCCTAGTACCAGCACAAAACAACAACAATGCACACACTCAACTCAAGAGAAAGATTTAATTCTGAGCCAGGCACCAGTGGCTCACATCTGAAATCCTAGCTACTCAGGCTGAAATCTGAGAATTGAGGTTTGAAGCCTATTTGAGCAAGCAAGTCCCTGCTTATCTCCAGTTAACCAAAATGCTAGAGGTAGAGCTGTAGTGTAGCTGTAGCTCAAATTGATAGAGCACTAGCCTTGAGCAACCTTGAACACAAAAGCTCAAAGACAGTGACCCAAGAGCTCAAGCCCTAGGGCTGGCACACAAAAAATCAAAAACATGGGGCTGGGAAGGTGGCTCAGTAGTAGAGCGCTTGCCTTGCATGCCTGAGGCCCTGGGTTCTATTCCTCAGCACCACATAAGCAAAAAGTAAAAAGCTGGAAGTGGCGTTGTGGCTCAAGTGGTAGAGCGCTAGCCTTGAGCTGAAGAACTGAGGACAGCGCCCAGGCCCAGAGTTCAGGCCCCACGACTGGATCAAAATAAAATAAAAATAAATAAAAAATAAAAAACATCTTAGAGCTACAGTCCACATGGCCTGTTGGCTACCTGAATGATATTTGGTTCCTCATGGTACCATTCCCATTTGTGTTGGAAGGAAATCCATTCTAATATGTTCTCTTCCCTACAGCAATAACAGCCAAATGAAGAAGCGGCCAACATCTGCAGTGGGCTACAAGAGGCCTATCAGCCAGTATGCTCGGGTTGCCATGGCAATGGGGTCTCACCCCAGATATCGGGTAAGAAGGTAGAACTGGAAAGTGATACTCATGGCTTGTGCTTTCCTTTAAGTTCTTGTGACACCCAATGGCCTGGCACTGGTGATTCATGCCTGTAATCCAGCTACTCAGGATGCCAAGATCTGAGGATCATAGTTTGAAGCCAGCCCGGGCAGGAAAGATCGATTGAGTCCTGGAAGATATGATTATTGAGGTCATTGAGATTGCTGTTTATATCTGACATGTGATTTCACTACAGGCTGAAAATATAATGTTTTTGGAGTTGGATGTGTCCCCTCCAGCGGTCTTTGAGCTGGAATTTTCTCATGATCAAGAACAAGACCCTCGTACCCTACACTTGGAGAGGCTCATGCGGTTGGACAGCTTTCTGGAAAGACCTTCCACAACTAAAGTCCGAAAGTCCAGATCCTGGTCAGTTCTACCTCAGTCCCAGTGAGGCAGGGGAGTACCATAGATTGAGGCTATAAGAGGGTGTTGACTGTACCCTAGAGGCAGTGGGGAAAGGATGGGAAAGCTCTTTGCTTTTCTGTCATCCTCAGGGCACTAACTTCCTCTTCCCCTGCCTCATCTCCACCCCTGCAGGTGCCAGAGTCCTCAGCGGCCTCCACCCTCTACCACACATGCCTCGCTGGCCTCCGCTCCTCTGCGCCCCACGACTGTGGTGGACCATGAGTGACAGACATCCCTCAGTCAGGCTGCCCATCTGACAGACTCCTAAGATGGCAGCCAACCCTGGCTCATCTCATCCACCGCTTGGTGCGTGCGTGCGTGCGTGCGTGCGTGCGTGTGTGTGTGTGTGTGTGTGTGTGTGTGTGTGTGAAGGGGTGAGAATTGGGTAGATGATACCTCTGCCCTCTCTTCTGCGCATCCCCTATTTAATTCATGTTATTTATTCATGGAGCTCAGTGAGTGTGGGGAGATGCCCTTGCCTGATTTGTTTGGGCCTGCCGTGGTCACTACGTATTCCCCCTTTTCTCTTGACTGGAGACCCCCAGTCAGAACTCAAGCTCCTCTTCATGTCAGTTGCCCTTGGAAGGGAAGGTGGCCAGTGCCAGAGAAGACAGTGCTTTTTCTACCCATCTCACTCCATGGTCCCCATCTTTTCCTGCCCTGATGGTACACAGCCACCACACGCTTTCTGGGACCAGAAAACTGCTGGATGTCCATTGAGGACAAGAGGCATCCTGAGGTCAGTTGGGGGTGGGGAGGGGGCTGTGCTCTGTGTGGACAGAGCCCCAGTCTCTACTTTGTGGGCCCCAGACAACCTCTTCCAGCCTCTTGGGCTCTTTCACAAAGAACTTCAATGGCCTCATCAACACTCTGCCCACACTTTTCAGCTTTGGCAAGAACTCATGGCTTCCCAAACTCTGCTCCCTATCCACGGACCCAACACTTGGATGGGAATTGTGAGCCAATCAGTGATTGAGTGCCACCTCTGGACCTGTAGGAAATGGAACTATGTTGAGACCATCAGGAGATTGTTATCAAGGGAAGTTCCGACTCTTGACTTATATGCTTCTGAGAAGTTCCTCTGGTCAACAAGATATCAAGCCAGCTTCCCATTTTTGAGATGTGGCTTCTTCCTGCTTTGATCATGCTTTCCTGCAGATGTCAGATCTCGGTTCCTAGTGGGAGGGATCAGTGTCATTCTGTCCCTGGCTAAATGAAGGTGTCAAAATCGGTTGCTTTGTTTCTCTTCATTTAGTACAGGAAATAGATAGAGGCACAGTCTATGCTGACTTTGCCAGTTACCTCTGTTTCTGTTTGGGGGACACTTTTGTTGAAAATGAATTCTCATGAAAATTGGTCCTTCTCCACCTTCCTTTGTGACAGTCCAGAATATCTGATATTGCAAGTAATCAGTAAATTTCTATTTTAAAAAGCTAATTTTCATTGACTCTTTTAACAGGCAAGACGTTTTTCACACTTTATTATTTATTTATGTATTTATTTATTTATTTATATTTTGTGCTGGTCCTAGAACTTGAATTCAGGGCCTTGGCTCCGTCCCTGAACTTTTTTGCTCAAGGGTAGCACTCTACCTCTTGAGCCACAGCTCCACTTCTGGCTTTCTTGGTGCTTCATTGAAGATAGGAGTCTCATGTACTTTCCTGCCTAGGCTGGTTTGGAATCATGATCCTCAGATCTCAGCCTCTTTAGTAGCTAAGATTATAGGTGTGAGCCACCACTGGCCCAGCCACACTTTATTTTTAAAATATCTCTGAACACATGCAATCCCACAATTTTGCTTATAGTTACCTTATACTTGAAGCTAACTTTAAAATTTAAATTCTACTCCACAGCCAATATTTTCCTGATATTCTTCTAAGAAATACATCCCTGGTTCTATGCCTGTCTTTTTTCAGGCCTGAATCTACTCTAAAGATGTTGATCAATACCTAGATTTTATGCAAAAGAAATTCTGTAATTTATACAGTAAACATCTAATAGTGTGCTATTTAATTATAAATTAGTTGAACGATTAGGAAATTCCCTAATTTTAGAGATCATAACATCAATTGTATTGACTTACCTTTGAAATGTATTTTAGCAGAGAGGTGAAGGCATAAGTCATGTGAGCAACAATAAGTTAGCATTTGAAATGTACTAACAGATGTAGCTGCCTGTTGTTTGGGCAAAGCATGAGGCTGAAGGATCTGCCTGAAGTTTGGTGTGTCCCATAACAGTGGGACTGTTTTCTTCCCTGCAAGAGATAACCTCCTGTTGGAACATTTGCATTCTTCTCTGAAGATGGGCTGATGTCATGCAGTTGCTGTCTTTTCTGTTGTAATGGCTGGACAAGATGGATGAGCCACTCAAGGAAATCACAACTTTCATCCTAGCCCAAGAGATCATTTAACACTGAGGATCCAGATCAGCGTTTTGGCTGTAGCTGGAACAGGAGTTGTGCATAGAAATCCCCCCAGGTGGCCTGGCATCAAGGGACCTCCATCAAGCAGCCTCTCCCACTGACCTCATTCTTATCTGTGGATAAAGCAGCACATGTCATCCCATTCATCACTTGGACACATCCACTCTGCATTGTCTGCTCACTTGTCTCACACAGCCTTAGAGCACAATATACCCCACATCACCACTCCCAGTCTGAAGGCTGGACCCGAGGTATGGTCACAAGAGGAGCTCCTGCCTGCAGTTTTGTGTATGTGTGTATGTGTGTGCGTTTGTGTGTGCGTTTACCTGTCTCAGAAACACTGCACTCAATGTAAGATAATCTGGGAACAGGGCCACTGGGAGTGGCTAGATCTCAATCTCTGCCTCCCTCCTCTTCCTTTTGATGTGTCAGACATTTGATTGACAAAGTAAGGACCTTGATTTAGGACCAAATTTCCCTGTCAATTGCTATGGTCTTTATTTAGGACAACAGTTAATGCAGTGGCCCATTCTTGTCACTCTATACATATGATTGTACGGGACATATGTAATATATAAATATATATATATATAACATTACCCTCTGTCCCCTTGGCTTAGGACGGAGGCCTCTCAGTTGAGCAAAAATGTGTCACACCTCAGTGCTGCCTGTAACCTGCAGGCCTCAGCTCTGTTCAGATTAACACAGTCAACAATAAAGGAATGAATATTGTTGCAGAGTTGCTTGCCTGCCTCTTTCCTTGGTCTCTGCCTACTTTTGTTTGTTTTTGCCAGTCCCGGGGCTTGAACTCAGGACCTAGATGCTATCCCTGAGCTTTTGCTCAAGGCTAGTTTCTACCACTTTGATTTTGTTTTTTGTTTTTTTGGGTCCGGTTGTGGGCCTGAACTCTGGGCCTGGGCGCTGTCCCTCAGCTCTTCAGCTCAAGGCTAGCGCTCTACCACTTGAGCCACAGCACCACTTCCGGCTTTTTTTTTCTGCTTATGTGATGCTGAGGAATCGAACCCAGGGCCTCATGCATGCAAGGCAAGCACTCTACCACTGAGCCAACTTCCCAGCCCTCTACCACTTTGAATGATAGTTCCACTTCCATTTTCTGGCAGTTAATTGGAGTTTCACAGACTTGCCTGCCCAAGCTGGCTTTGAATTGTGATTCTCAGATCTTAGCCTCCCAAGTAGCTAGGATTATAAGTGTTAGCCACCAGCTTTTCCTTTTTTTTCCCCCCACCTTTTCTCTCCTCCTGTTTTTTCTAGTAGGAGTTCAAGAGTATTTGAATCCACCCAAATATGGCAGCTCATGCTTGTAGTTCTAGCTACTCAGGATGTTGAAGGATTGCAGTTGGAGACTTAGCCAAAGGTAAAAATATCCCCATCTCAGTAATTGGGCACAATGGTACATATCTGTCATCTAAGCCCTGGCAGAAGTGTAAAATAAGAGGATCACAGTCTAGGTACTGGCCTGGGCAAAAAGTGAAACCCTATCTGAAAATAACTAGTGCAAAATGCCAAAGGTGTGACTCAGCAGGACAGCATCTGCCTATCAGACATTGGGTCCTGAGTTCAAACCCCAGTACACACACACACACACACACACGAAGTCTTTGGAGGGCAGGAATGTGACTTAGTGGTAGAGTGCTTGCCTAGCATGCATGAAACCCTGGGTTCAATTCATCAGTACCACTTAAACAGAAAAAGCCGGAAGTGGTGCTGTGGCTCAAGTGGTAGAGTGCTAGCCTTGAGCAAAAAAAGCTCAAGGACAGTGTCCAGGCCCTGAGTTCAAGCCCCAGGTCTAGCCAAAAAAACAAAGAGCTGGCAAGGTGGTAGAGTGCTTGCCTTGCATGCATGCGGCCCTGGGTTTGAGTCCTCAGCACCACATAAGCAAAAATAGCTGGAAGTGGCACTGTAGCTCAAGTGGTAGAGTACTAGCCTTGAGCTGAAGAGCTGAGGGACAGCGCCCAGGCCCAGAGTTGAGGCCCCACAACTGGAAAAATAAAACATCTTTGGAGTCTAGCTGTAGTTATCAACAGCTTGGAAATAAACTGTTCAGCTTAAGAATCTCTGTCACTGTTTGGGGTTTAGCTCAGGCCCCTTGTTCTATCCCCAGTACCACACACACAAAAAAAGGAAAACAAATAAAATGGAAGAATATCTGCCTTATCTGCCTGCCCAGTAGGACAGAGGGGAGAGCCGAGGCTCCATGGAAAGTCTATGCTAGGGTTGTTGCAACAGCTGTTCCCATCCGAAGTTGGCACTCTCAAACCAGTTAATTCTGAGTTCTTAGCAGATTTCAGGACTCTGCTAAGAGTTCAGACCCCATGACTGACAAAAAACAAAACAAAAACCCGACTATAGTCATGAGAAACATAAAGAAACGTATCCAGATAATCATAAAGAAAATGCCCCATTGGAAAAGGATAATTGACAGATTGAAAGGAAATGGCCCAAGTTAGGATGCTCAGCAGGAGGCATCGTGTACTCTGGCACCAGCCTCACAGTCTCCAGGCTCTTGGAGACCTGGATGCCAAAGCAAGTTTGAGTCTTGCTCTCATTGCTTTTTGTTTTGTTTTTTTTTTTACCAGTCCTAGAGCTTGAACTCAGGGCCTTGGCACTGTCCGTGAGTTTCTTTTGCTCAAGGCTAGCACTATTCCACTTGAGCCACAGCACCACTTCCAGCTTTTTCTGTGTATGTGGTACTGAGGAATTGAACCCAGGGCTTCATGCATGCTAGGCATGCACTTTACCGCTAAGCCACATTCCCAGCCCTCTCATTATTTGAGCATTTTGGAACTTAACATTAGAACAATGGTTGATTGCTCCCTCCTCCCCCGCTTCCTATTGGGGGATTCTAAAGGTTTTGCAGGCCTTAGAAGGAATGATGCGTGTTTCACACATCTTCTTCCATGCCTCTCAAGCATCCTGGTTCAGCTGTCACAGCTCCTTATGATGTGCAAAAGCAGGCTGTTTCACTCAGCTTTGTTACTGCAGGCCGACATCTGCCAGTTTTGACAATTTACAGTTGCTTATGGCCCTTTTCCTTGGCAAATTAAATCCATGTGTTGATTATATTTGGTGCCAGTAGAGAGAAACAACAACAAAAATAAGTCAGTGAAAACACACACACACACACACACACACACACACACACACACACACACACAAATTAGACATACATTGAACTAGGAATGAGTTGTTCACCATTCCACCTCACCCAGCAACCAGTGCCCCTGGAGACCAACCAAGCCTGAGAGACTGCAGAGCTCTCAGCCGCCCCCATTCAATTACTTTACAAAGGAAAAATAGTTTGGAGAGCTGCTGGGGGGTGGGGGGAAGAAGGAGGTGGGAGTAATATTTAAAAAGTGAACTAGTTAGTAGACTAACATGCATATACACCCACATGCGTCCATACAAAACTCTTGTTACCAACTAGAAAATGAAATCCAGAAAGGCGAAAAACTTAATAGTCTTTGCTTCATTAGTAAGCAAAGACTTAGTGGTAGAGTGCTTGCCTAGTATCCATGAAGCCCTGGGTCTGATTCTTCAGTACCACATAAACAGAAAAAGCCGAAGTGGCACTGTGGCTCAAGTGGCAGAGTGCTAGCCTTGAGCACAAAGAAGCTCAGGGACAGATGCCAGGCCTAGGACTGGCAAAAAACAAAAACAAAAAACAAAAAACAACAGAGCAAGGCAACAATGGCCCATGCCTGCAATCCTAGCTACTCAGAAGGCTAAGATCTGAGGATTGATTTACAGTTGGGAAATTCAGTGAGATTCTTTTTTTTTATGCCAGTTCTGGGACTTGAATCTGGGACTGGTAGCTGTCTCTGAGCTTTTGTGCTCAGGTCTAGCACTCTACCACTTGAGCCACAGCTCTACTTCTGTATTTTGCTTTTTCTGGTAGTTTATTGGAGATAAAGTCTCACAGACTTCCCAGTCTGGCTTTTGAAGAGCTATGCTCAGATCTCAGCCTCCTGAGTAGCTAGGATAAC